AAGACCCAGCCTCACCAGATGCAGTGGTGCATACCTGTAATCCCAGCAATTTGGGAGGCTGAGGCAAAAAGGAGCACAAATTTGTTTTTGTTTTTTTAAAAACGGAGAGAGAGAGAATTTTAATATTTTGTTTTTTTTTTTTTAGTTTTCGGCGGACACAACATCTTTGTTTGTATGTGGTGCTGAGGATCAAACCCGGCCCGCACGCATGCCTGGCGAGCACGCTACTGCTTGAGCCACATCCCCAGCCGGAGGATCACAAATTTGAAGTCGGCCACAGCAAGGCTCTAAGCAATTTAGCAAGACTCTCAAATTTTAAAAATTTGAAAAATAGTTGGGGATGTACCCCAGTGGTAAAGAACCCTTGGATCTAACCCCCCCAAAAAAATAAATACCCGCCCCCCAAAAAAAAGACCGTCTGGAATAGTTTTAAGGGACAGGGACATAGCTCAGTGCTAGAGCACCTCTGGGTTCAATCCAGAAAGAAGGCAAAAAGGAGGGGTAAAGAAAGGAAGAGAAGAAAGATATCAATTACCAGAGAAAATGAAAACGTGCCAGTGCAGGCCTGTAATCCCTATCACATAGAAGGCTGAGACAGGAGGATCACAAGTTCAAAATCGTCCTCAGCAGTTTTGCCAGGCCTTGTTTCAAAATACAAAATAAAAAAGACTGGGGATGTAGCTCAGTGGTAAAGCATTTCTGGATTCGAACACAAATTAAAAAAAAAAAAAAAAAGATGGAAAAAGAATCTCACCTTAGATTATGAAAACATACTACTACTTTTTAAAAAATATTTATTGTAGTTGGACACAATATCTTTATTCTACTTATTTATTTTTATGTGGTGCTGAGGATCAAACCTATGGCCTCTCACATGCTAGGCAAGCACTCTACCGCTGAGCCACAATCCCCATACTTTTTAAAAGCATTTTCATTACAGTCCCCCTTTGTGGTACACAATTGAGGCATATCCCCATTTTATAAAATGAGAGCAAACTTATTTTCCCAAAATCATACAGTAAAATAAGTGTTAAAAACCAAGATCTGGGGCTGGGGTTGTGGCTCAGAGGTAAAGCGCTCACCTAGCATGCGTGAGGCACTGGGTTCGATCCTCAGCACCACATAAAATAAATAAATAAAAGATTGCATCAACCTATAACCTTAAAAAAAAAAAAAGGCAATATGACATCTAAACTTCTTTGGAGGCTACTCCATGAACAAGCTTAGCTTGCCCAAGGCTTTAAGTTTTATTCCGTTGAGAGAAATAAATAAATGATGGTAAAAACTAAATAAAAATGTATTAAATTAATTGGTCCAGGCAGTATTCGAGGTAGATAGAAACAGATGACAGCAGAAATCCTTTAACGAAATTAAAGATTAAGTCCTTAGCAATAAAAGGTTGGACAACCTAGGCTACAGTAACTACCTTTCTCCTTTGGGATGTAGGAGGGTGCGATAGACGATCTCGCCTCACTTGAGTTGATTTTATATTAGGTAATCTTGGTAAACAAATGGAATCAAGGACGTGAGAGTCAAGAAAGTGGGAGTGGGAGTCAAGAAAAACAAAAGAAAATTGGTATTGCAACACAGAATGTGAAACCAGAGACTGCCTACTAGGTGAACCATCCTTCAACTCTTTCTCCATCCTCCCTAAATCCCACGGAGACCCAGCTTATGTCTACCTGTTCCAAACTACCTTGACGGTTTCCAGACTGGCCCCTTCCAACACCACAATGAGCCTACGACCTCCACTCTTGCTTCCTGCCCCGAGTCGAGGCCTCTTAGGAGCCACAGCATCCCAGTCCTGCTCCTGCTCGCCAAAGCGCAGCTCACGAGGTTGGAACTCATCACTGGGCGCGGCCATCTTTACAGCCAGCCCGGAAGTCGTGCTAACGTCTTTAACTAGCACCTCGAGCTCGTCAGAATCGCAAACTTCCTTCCGGATGCCATTTTGAAAGTGGGCGCTCAGAAACGGCGAGGGCTTGAAGTCCGGGTCAGCAGGGTTCCAAAAAGGGGAGGAGCTTCCGGGTGCGTGATTCCTGTGCGCGAAGTTCGGGTCCGCTGTAAGCAAAAGGGGAGGGTTTAAAAGAGAGCGCACTTCCGGTGCCCTTTCTCCCGCGAGCTCTTCAGCTCGGGGCCCTCGTGTGCTGTTTGTGATCTCCAAACTGGAGTGGGGTAGTGACAGGCGGGCACCCCCTCCTGACCTCCGGTGCTGCCGCCCTCAGAATCAGATATGGCCCAGAATTTGAAGGACTTAGCGGGACGCTTGCCCGCCGGGCCCCGGGGCATGGGCACGGCGCTGAAGCTGCTGCTGGGGGCCGGCGCCTTGGCCTACGGCGTCCGAGAATCCGTGTTCACTGGTGAGCAGCTTCCTCCCGCTCGCTGGAATCCTTGCCCCCTGCCCTGTCTCTCCAGCTGTCCACATTCACCTAGCTCCCTCACCCTGCCTCACCTGAACCGGACACGTACTCTGAGCCGCGAACGTACTCTGAGCAGCGGCCTAGTCCGATTCCTATCCCTCTCTCCACAGTGGAAGGCGGGCAAAGAGCCATCTTCTTTAATCGGATCGGTGGCGTACAGCAGGACACCATCCTGGCCGAGGGCCTTCATTTCAGGTAATGGTGAGCAGAGCACACTAACCCTTCACCCTTGACACGACCCACCAAGGACTAGTAGGACTTGCATCAGGATTCAGCACTGCTCTTTCCCTTAATCACCCCAGGACAGTGTTGGCTGCCAATACTCTAGCAACACATAAACTATTCTGTTGAGAGAAGGAGCAAGGCACAACAGTGAGGGGAAACCAATGAAACTTCAGTTTCCTAATTCCTATCCCTGTCCTCTTCCCTTCAGGATTCCCTGGTTCCAATACCCCATTATATATGACATTCGGGCCAGACCCCGAAAAATCTCCTCCCCTACAGGCTCCAAAGGTAAGTGTGGGCAACTGGAAGTCACATGACAGAAGATATAACTAAAGTGAACCGGGAGGCTGCAAGATGGTAGTGTGGGTGGGGTCTTTTAGGCCTTGGTTTCCACAGCTGCAAAAGTGCCTGCCTCCTGGGGCTAAAGCAGTATATTCCAAGACGTAGGATGTTTCCATGTTTTTCTTTTTATTAATAGTTCCTTATCTGTTACATAAACTTACGAACTTTGTCCCATTTTTGTCATAGTGCCTAAGTCAAAGCCTTTTATTAAAGCGTTTTCTTATTTTTTTGACTTATTAATTATATCCAGTTACATTTACTGATATGCCCTGTCCTGAAGAAGTATGATTCCTCTCTTTACAGACTACTTAGTTAGAAGCTGTGCCTTTGAGATTCTGCTGGCCCCTGCCTCATTCAGAGAGAGACACATTTTAAGTGTGTATCACTAAGCCCTGGGAATAAGATTCTTAAAACAATCCTTATCAATTCTTAATAGTCTAGTAAAAAGAGACAGTTTATCACGATGCTGCATGATAAACTACCTTAAGACTACCTTAAGAGGTTGCTCAAGATTCAGTGGTAAAAGTAGAAGTAAGCTTTACTAATGGAGGAGTTGTAGGTCCCCAGTGGACAAGTATGCACTTCACATGTGCTATGTAGCATCTTCCTTCACAACTTTATTATTCTGCCCCAGGAAAAGTGCTAGGCTGTATACTAGGCATAGATGGAAGCACATGGAAAAGAAAATGTTTGAGGGGAGGGTTGACGTTGACCAGCCATTGCTGACCTCTCCCTCAGACCTGCAGATGGTGAACATCTCCCTGCGTGTGCTGTCTCGACCCAATGCCCAAGAGCTCCCCAGCATGTATCAGCGCCTCGGGCTAGACTACGAGGAGCGAGTATTACCATCCATTGTCAACGAGGTGCTCAAGAGTGTGGTGGCCAAGTTCAATGCATCACAGCTGATCACCCAGCGGGCTCAGGTCTGGCTCCCATCACCATCTGCATGGTGGCAGCATTTCCCTCCCAGACCCAGAGTACTAGGGACCATGAAAAACATCTTATTAGAATCTAGTTCCAGGGGCTGGGGATGTGGATCAAGCAGTAGCCCACTTGCCTGGTGTGCGTGCGGCCTGGGTTCGATCCTCAGCACCACATACAAACAAAGATGTTGTGTCCGCCAATAACTGAAAAATAAATATTGAAATTCTCTCTCTCCTCTCTCTCTCCCTCTCTCACTCTCTCTTTAAAAAAAAAAAAAAAAAAAAAGAATCTAGTTCCATATCCACATAAAAGCTATACTAGTTGCCACTGTAGGACATAGAACTCAGTAGCAATCAGTGTTGTGAAGGAAGCATAGGAGGAAATAATGCGTTGTGTTGCAGGTTTGCCTGGCAAGAAGCTAAGGAGACACTTATATTGGAGAGTGAAGGTTTAGGAGTCATTGTGACCTGGAACAATCATATTACCTCTAGGAGGCCATTTAATCTATCAAATGAATAGATTGAACCAAGTGTTTCCAATTCAAGTGTTCTAGTGAGTGTCTCAGGAACTGAGAGTAGGCCAATTGGCATCCCAGGAGATCTGGTATTTAAATGGGCACAGCAATACAGCCTTCCTTCCAGTTCTTCAGTCCTCTCAACACCCCTTCATTCCCATCCCCACCACTGCCTCCAGGTATCCCTGTTGATCCGCAGGGAGCTGACAGAAAGGGCCAAGGATTTCAGCCTTATCCTGGATGATGTAGCCATCACGGAGCTGAGCTTTAGCCGGGAGTACACAGCTGCTGTAGAAGCCAAACAAGTGGGTGAGTCACAAGAGGAATGGGGCAGGGGCTTCTGAAAACAGAAACCAGACAGATCTATCCAAGGTTGGGGATCCTTACCTCACTGTGACCCCCTGACTTTCTCACCACAGCCCAGCAGGAAGCCCAGCGGGCCCAGTTCTTGGTGGAAAAAGCAAAACAGGAACAACGGCAGAAGATTGTGCAGGCTGAGGGTGAAGCAGAGGCTGCCAAGATGATATCCTTGGCCTGACCCCAGGCACCCTGCTTTCCCCATCCTTCCTCAAGGGCTGGCTGATGAGAATAAGGCGAATGTGACTTTGTGCTCTCAGACCCTTGGCTCCTGGGGGGTAGGTACAGATGGGATCTGAAATCTTGGTGGGGAAACCTGAGTCCTGGCTTCCTGCTGTAAGGCCAGATCAAGAGCACTGCTGGCCTTGCCCTCATGTCTGCTGCTGCCCCGAGTTCCTGGCAGTAGCCTACAGGGAGGCCCACAGGTAGGGGCCAAAGATGGGATGGGCACCAGCCATGTGAGCACAACCTTGGATCTGACAACCCAGAGGAGGACTAGCGGGAGAGTAGTAAAGATGGGGCCAGGGATTGAGATCTCATCTTGTGTGGACACTTAACCCTTCTTTGCTCACCTTGGAGAAGCACTGAGCAAGAATCCTGGCTACATCAAGCTTCGTAAGATACGGGCTGCCCAGAACATCTCCAAGACGGTAAGTGTGAGAGTCCTGCATCTCATTCAGGTTTCTACTCAAACTGATTTCTCTTGACACTTAATTGCCCACCACTTCCCTGATCTTCTATTCATTCCTGTTACAGTATTAGTACATCATAGTCATTGCTCATTGCTATATCTCTGTCCCAGCCACACATGTTCCATTTAGTAGCTGTTGAATCACAAAGACAGGAGTCAAGGGCTTTACTAATGCCCCCATTTGTCTTTCTTGCTGCCCTGCAGATCGCCACATCACAAAATCGTATCTATCTCACAGCTGATAACCTTGTGTTGAACCTACAGGATGAAAGTTTTACCCGGTAAGAATAGGGCTGCACAGTGTGATGTCACAGAGAACATGGGGCTTGAGTCTGGGGTTCCTTGGGCTCTGGAGCCTATTACAGCTACTTGTGACTCTTGATACTTTTTCAAAATTAGAAAAGGGGGTGGCTGGCCAGGTACAGTGGCACATGCCTGCAACTCAGCTACTCAAGAGACTGACTCAGGATTGCAGGTTCTAGGATAGCAAGATGCTATCTCAAAATTTTAAAAATACATCCAAAGAGCTGGGGATATGGCTCAATAGAGAGCCCCTGAGTTTAATATCCAGTACCACGAGAAAAGTGGGGGGGGGGAGTGGTAGTTCCTTTCTTACCCATAGAATTGATCTTATGAGATTATTTGTGAAAAAGGCACTTTGATTGTAAGCACAGATGATATTTAGTGTTAAGAATTCTCAAACAGCTGCTCTGGTACATGGAAATGTGTAAGGAAAGGAAAGAGCAGAGAACAGTCTTCCATGAGCCTGAGATCCTAACCTCTACCCAATTTGTGGTCTGCTTTTGGGAGCAAAGGGTTTGGAGCTGACTGGGGTCTGAAGTCATTAAATCACAAGCATTTCTCTTTTTCTCTGTTGTCTTGTTTACCTCGTGGTCTGTTGTCCACAGAGGAAGGTAAGTTGTTGCTGTGTCCTTATTTTTGGGGGGTCCTGCAGTTCATCTTTTCCCAGTACCTGCCCTACCACCCACTAACTAGCCCTACTACCTCTCCTAAGTCACCACCCTCCCCCCCCCCAGACCCTCAATCAGGACAGGTGGGAATGACCTGGAATATTCTGCATCTCACATTTATGTCTCCAGTAATGTCATCCATCTGTCCCATTTTTCCAGTGACAGCCTCATCAAGGGTAAGAAATGAGCCTGATGAGAAGAACTCTACCCCAGGGAGGAAGCAGGTGTATTTCTCCTCCAGTTTTTGAGGAACCAGCTAGGGGTCCAGCATACCCCAACCCCAATATCATGTGATGGTCCCCTCTGCACCCATCCTCTTGAGCCCTCTTGGATTAAGGAAGACTGAAGACTAGCCCTTCTTAGGGGAATGACTTTCTTTCTCCCTGTGTTGGCCAGGGGGTTTGGGACAGTGTGTGATTTCTCAGTGATTTCCTACAGTGTTGTTCCCTCCCTGAGGTGGGAGGAGATAACCACCATACCAGGAATTCTCAATAAATTTTTATTACTTAAGCCAAAGTTAAGGCTTTAGGTGTCTGTGTCATGTGGGAGGGAAGCAAATGTATCCAATCATGCCTGTGCTCCACGTTCTTATCTGCCAGCAGAGGGCGCAAGGAGTCTTGCCTAGGCTCTCCAAACCCACCAATCTGCTCCAAAAGAGGATCAAAGCTGGGAGCAGCAGGCCTCATATCCAGAGGCCCAGCTACACCCACTACCCCGCCCTCCATGTCTACCACACCACCCCCATTTATTTATCAACATCTCCTTTTTTAAGGCTAGAGCAGCTGTGGTTTTGCTGAGCCAAACTAAAAATCTGATGATCCCAAGGGGACCTGCTTCCTTGGTAACAGACCTCTGTGGAATTGTGGGGAGATCATGAGTACCAACAAGGGACCTCAGCAACATTCAAAAGCCCAGTGGGTTGTGTTGCCTGCTGTGGGCTACCTGCAACTTTGAATTTTACAAGGTATGAGGTGCAATTTGCAGAAAAATCCTGACCTATAAAGGTGGGCTTCTCACTCCTGCAGCTCTGGAGCCCCATCAGAAAAGCAGCCTGGTTTTAATCCATTGAGAATCTGTCTCACATTTCCCAAGACAGCCTTCACTGGATCTCAAGCACCAATAAAATGAAGTCTGCTTATTATACCTAATCCCTCCCACACTACATCCGTACTCTTGTCCTTTGTCCTTTTGGGGGACAACACTGGGGATAAAGGAATGACAAGATGCATAGTAGAGGAGAAAGTAAACTTTAATAGGGTCAAAAGGGGCAGGTCTTCAGACTTTAGGGTTTTGAAAGAAGTAGACAATTTCTCCATGCCCTGAGGGTTAAATGTGGAGAAAGGAAAGGGAGGAGAAGTTGATGTAGCAGCCACTCTCCCTAAGGTAAGATTTACGGATAGAAGGTCAAAGGAGGAGCTGGTGTGGCTCAGTGATAGAGTGCCTGCCTAACATGCAGGAGGCACTGTGTTCAATTCTCAGCACCATATAAGTGTAAAATAAAGATATTGTGACCACCTAAAACTTAAGAATAAAAATTTTTCTAAAAAAGATTAAAAAAAAAAAAAAGGTCAAGGGACCTGGATTTGTCATCCACCTGTTACCATTCACACTTCATTTCTTTCAAGTTCCCAAAGTGGGAGGACAATGGAGGTACCTGGGGAATGGGGAATAAGTATGTTTCCAAATTTTGCTGCTGCACCAGGGGCAGCCATTTTGTTTCCCTTTCCATTGTTCCCCTTTTCCTAGTCATTTACACCCTCATCAAAAGGGGAAAGGTTCATAGCTTCTCAATCAGGAGGCCTCCATGGTCTTCAGAGCTCCAGGAAAGTCATTGCTGAAGGAACCAACCCGGGGGCCATCTTTACCAGACAGTGTTAGGAGCTTCACAAAGACCATCCAACACTGTACTGGAAGATGGACCCAGAGCCGGCCAACATGGAACTCCAGGCTACAGTTGACCAGTTGCTACAGGGACCCTGGCTGCAAGCCTGCTGAGGCCTCCTGAGAGACCAAGAGCCAATCCCAAGCTCAAGGTCAGCAGTGAGTGCTGGATAACACATTGGGATTGGACAAGGGCTGGAGCCATTGTGTTCCCTCAGTGGGCAATCAGCCAACCAAGAGCCACCCCTCCTGCAGCACCCTCAGCTCAAGACATGGGGCTTCCAGCTTATGTGGGTGGGGGTGGGGTCACAACCAGCTGCCCCCCCACCCCCCACCCCCACCCCACCCCAACCTGAGCGGATGGATGGATGGGAACGAACATAGGGTCAGGGGCCTCCATCATTACCCGGCAGTATTAGAGACTCCCAACCACCCAAACACTGCTGGGTAAGACGAGGGCCCCCACCCAGCGTGCCCACCTCCAGTCATCAGGCCCAGCCCCACACTCTCTGCTGAGAAGCTACAGATCCCTGGTTCCCATCCCCCCACTACCCGTGTCCCTGGGGATACTTCCGGGTGAGCCCTGCTGCCCACCACCAGCCCCACCCTGAGTGGTTAAGATTGCCAGGGCCCGGGCAGGACCTCAGCAGCCCCTTGTCCTTCTGTTCTCCGCTTCTGAGCCCCTTCCTCTGCCACCCTTACAGCCTGTCCCTGCCCCCAACACACCCCAATTCACTGGCCCTCAGCCCCCACTCTACAGTTTTAACTCAGCCCCAGGACCCCTTGCCTGGTGGCTTTTACCTGTCACCAGGCCCGCCTGCCCCCTAGAATGTGGGTGCTGAGGAGAGGAGAAGAAGGAGCGTCAAAGCCCCGATTCAACGCCCTAGAGCCAGCCCTGGCTTCCACTCTTCCTTCTTCCTTCTCTGCCTGCCAAGCAGCACCAGCGCCTCACCTGGGCCCCGCCCGCCGCCCTGCGCACAGGTGTGTCCTCCTGCCATAGGCTGCCCCCCTCACCGTCTTAACTCCTTCTCTCCCAGCATCAGCCACAGTCACCTCCTCTGAGGCCTGGCCACCCACTAGGCCTTTCACTCTGGCTCGGTGGCCTGTTTCCTCCTACCTGCCTATTCTCTCCCCAGTCTCCAAGGGAATAAAGGAAGAAACTTTCCTTAAGTCCTCTCTCCACCATGGCTACGCCTTCAGGCCTACCCCCCTCCTCTGAGGCCTCTGACCCTGCCTGCCCACAGCCAGACCTGGAGGACTAGAATCCCTGAGGTCAGTGAGGGGTCAGCTCAGCAGGGTTTGGGCTGTGCCCTAGTGCAGTGCTGGCCTGAGCTGGGCAACCCCTGAGGGAGAGGGGAGAGAGGAGACCCTCTCTCCTGCAGGTCCCGGCAGGTCCCCACAGGTGCCTCCAAGTCTTCACCCCTGGTGTTGGGGTTCCAGCCCCACTAGAGGACCCAGCTGGCCTGACCTTTTTGATTAAAGCATAGAGCTGTTTTCCAGCAGTCCTGGGAGGAGGAATATTCTCGCTGCACTCATTCTCACAGACCCACCTCACAGCGAAGCCGGAGTCCAAGTCCCAAGTCCCGAACCAAGGGCAGTTAGCCCAGGGGCGGTTTAGAGGGGTGGGACCTGCCTTTCTTCCGTGCTGCTCAGGCGTTGCTGGGCACAGGGCCCTGAGGCCCACAGGTAATGGCCCCACCCACCCACCCCCTGGAGGGCCACAGCTCCAGGGAGCTATTGTGTGGCTCAGTCGTTGAGCCAGGTCTGCTCTTTGTTGTGCAGCCTCCTCCGCACCTGCCAGTAATTATTTGGTTTGTGAACTACTTCAAGATTTGTCTCCCTGACTAACCTCCTGAGTTCCAGAGGACAGAAACCATCATGTCACCATCATCCCCAGAGAACTGGTTCTGTGCCTGTGCTATAATGGACACTCAACCTG